TTCGGAGAGGGGAGATGACGGGTGGGTTTTTTATTTCCGCTATTTGTGAGTATAGAACAGACTATTACTGTGGGTTCCATCACTGGTTAGGTGATGGAGTTGTTTTTTTGTTTTTGTTTTTTGTTGGGAGCTCGCTAAACAGTCCGTGGCGACAACATGCGGCGCTACCTCCTCTGGCTACACCGACCAGCACAGACAGTAGTGACCGTTTTTTTGTTTTTGTTCTGAAGGTGGTGGTGGTAGTGGTAGCAGTAATACTGGTACTGGATGTGTAATGTGGTAGCTGTTACACTGGCCACATTTACTTTTCAGCATACATTGATGCTATCCATTTTTCTCTGGGTGGATACGGATGCAAAGCTCAGTTTAGCACAATATTTCTCCAGATGATCACTTTCCCATCCTTCGGCGAGGATGACATGATTAGTGGGGGAGGAAGGGGGTGGGGGGGGGGGTTAATGGCAGACACTGTTAACTGAGAGAGCTTAAAACATTATTTTAAAGTTATCATTTCTTAACTATTTCTATTTTAGTAATTTCGCCAAGTGATGATTTTTTATTCCTTCGGAGAGGGAATTATTATTTGGGGAGGGGGAAAGTGGGGAGGGGGGGGGGGGGGGGGTTATGTCAGACACTGTTAGCTGAGAGAGCTTAAAACAATATTTTCAAGTTTTCATTTCTTAACTATGTCTATTTTAATACTTTCGCCAGGGATGATTTTTCAATCCTTCGGAGAAGGGAGATATATCTGGGTGGAGGGGAGGGGGAAGGGGGGTGAGGGTTGTGACAGACACTGTTAGCTGAGAGCTACTTTCTTTCTTTTCCATTTCACAATTCGGGGCCGCAGCAACGCATGGCAGGGCACAGCTAGTAAATAATATGTTTGTTTCTGTTTCTGTTTTTTTTTTTTAAACACCTGACCGATGGTTCCCGAAACAATTTCTCCTGCTTTGTCAGTATTCGGGTATAAATGCGTTGAAAAAGACTATTTCAAAGTCACGTATTCATGCCAGAATTACTGTAACATCTTGTGAAAAATCAGTATGCCACAAACTGTATATATAGTAAGTAAAGATCCCTTTTTTCGCTTTAAAGGCGCATCGGGCAAGTGGAAAGAGCACCCATATTTTTACAGACCAATCGGCACTAGGTGGGTAATGTGGTCAGCGTTACTCTGGCCTGGTACCCATTTAGGCTGGGTCGACCTGCGACGCCCCATTCCATGATAAAAACCCACACAGCCAGCAGTGGGTTCCAAACGCGGTAAGTTGGAATTACGAGTCGGACTGGCCACGCCTAAGCCACGGACGTTGCACAAAATGATATAGTAATTTAATTTACATTGTTGTAACATCTAATGAAAAATTGGCAAACCACACATTGATACTGTAATTTAGTTTACATTGCTGCAACACTTTTGAAAGACCATCACACCACACTTTAATAACATAATTTAATCTACATTGCTGTTTCATCTTTTGCTGTAATGCAATCTACATTGCTATAACATCTTTTAACACATACCAACATTGCTGCCGTAATTTTACGAGTAACGACAATCGGTTATCATGTCCAAGCATTCGTAGATTTTGCGCAGTTCTCATACCTACAGTTTTAGATACACGGCGCTGTTTGTTTTCCATCTCTGGGACTGCTTGCTGATGATTTGACCCCACCGTCCTGTTGACTTCAAAAGTTGCATCCTGGATGTAAAAGCCCACCCCACTATCGTAGGCCTGTTCACTCCAAGGAAATTAGCATTTATGTAAGCCGTTGCAGGACAGTACTTGGAACGGCCAGCCTAGGGGACGTAATCCGTTCTAAATAAATAGTACTTTAATGCCGACCCTAAGGGAGGCAATCCATTGTGTGGCTTGGTATGCTTTGCGAAAAAAAAAAATCGTCATATTCAAACAACATAAATCGAGGGGAGAGCTTAAGGCTATAATTGTGACTAGTTTATATGCGCCATACAAAATGGCTTAGCGTTTCTCGCCACCAAGTAGCCCTGACAAGAACTCTTGCAATGCTGCAAAGGAGAGAGAACCAAAAACTGTCTCGACCGGCGACAAAGTCGTCTACCGGCGAGCCATGGGCACGCAATATCTTACGTCCTTCTTAGGACGTTATTTTTTGTTATTTGAAGCCCCACTCTGGCTTTTGCCAGGGGCCGCAATATAGGCAGGTCATCATTATGGCCAAATGTCTGAACGCGGTTTCTGGGACCTCTCCACGGTGATCCTCATCCGCATGGTGGCACTTTGTGTCATCGGGTGTTTATCGCTTGTTTGATGTCCTGGTGGGGTAAAAAGCCAATCCAGCCAATCCAATGGGCACGCATTTATGCAGTATTCCTTATGTCTTTTTTAGGACGTAATTTTTTGTCATTTGAAACCCCACTCTGGCTTTTGCCAGGGGCCGCAATATAGGCAGGCCATAAATATGGCCAATTGTCTGAACGCGGTTTCTGGGACCTCTCCACGGTTGATCCACATGGTGGCACTTTGTGTCATCGGGTGTTTATCGCTTGTGTGATGTCCTAGTGGGGTAGAAAGTCAAATCATGGGCACCCCCAGGGATCCCTTATGTCCTTTTTAGGACGTAATTTTTTGTTATTTGAAGCCCCCCTCTAGCTTTTGCCAGGGGCCGCAATATAGGCAGGCCATAAATATGGCTAATTGTCTGAACGCGGTTTCTGGGACCTCTCCACGGTGATCCTCACCCACATGGTGGCACTGTGTGTCATCGGGTGTTTATCGCTTGTGTGACGTCCTGGTGGGGTAGAAATTCATTCATGCGCACCATAGTTGCAAACCATTTCGTCATTTTTAGGATGAAATTGTTTGTTATTTGAAACCCTACTCTGGCTTTTGCCAGGGGCCGCAATATAGGCAGGTCATATTTATATATATGGCAAATTATCTGAACGCGGTTTCTGGGACCTCTCCACGGCGATCCTCATTCACATTGTGTCATCGGGTGTTTATCGCTTGTGTGATGTCGTGGTAGGGTAGAAAGTCAGTCATGGGCACCCTTGATTGTTTATATCTTCCAGTCCTTTTTAGGACGAAAATTTTTTTCGTTGTTTGAATCCCTACTCTGGCTCTTGCCAGGGACCGCAATATAGCCTGGCCATAAATATGGTCTAAAGGCTGAGCGGGGTTTCTGGGACCTCTCCATTGGTGATCCTCACCCACATGTTGGCACATTGTGTCATCGGGTATTTATCGCTTGTGTGATGTCCTGGTGGGGTAGAAAGTCAGTCATGGGCACCCTTGTCGTCCATGAATGAATTGCTTGTGTTAAAAAGTTTGTTGCTTATCCTTTCCTGGGCTTTGCAAAACCAACCACGGCATTTTTTGTTGTTTATTTTTCCATGCAAACGTTTACGTTTAGTAGACTGTCATTGCCTTCGAACGGCCCGCTTTCCGTACCACTGTCGAAACCAACGCAAGACAAACCATCCGCAGGTGGGATCGAACTCAGCACCCCAGCATAACGAAACGCGTTCGCAAGGCCTAAGCCACAGACGCTGACAAAACATAATGATATTCTTCAATGTAAAATTGTTTGGAGTTAGGGTTAAAGTTAGGTCTCTAGAAACTTAACCCAAACCCTAACCATAACCTGAAGCAATATTAACTAATAGAGAACAATATTATGTGAACCTAGAAAAATAAATTTTTGTGTCCCCTACTGTCGTCGTGGGCATACAATAGATTGCGTCCCCTGGGGTCGTAGTTTCAATTTTAAATAAAAACAAAACTTCCCCCAAGTATGGTATGCAGTTGGGTGTTGGCTTAGGCCCTAATAAAATCTAACGGTTAAACGGGGTTTCCAAGACTTGTGCCCGGGTGGTTCTCATCCTAATGGTGACACTTTGTGCCAACGGGTGTTTATCGCTCATTGTGCGCTTCTAGAGGGGATTACAAGTCAGCCAGTCAGTTATTTCAAGTATCGTCCTGTGGCGGGTAGCTCTAATTGCGAATCTAGCAGTCTTGTGCGACAGGGCAACTTGAGACACTTAAACTGGTCTGAAAGATTGACATCAAGTCACTCAAAGAAAAGCCGTTATTCACATAAACATCTAACTGTAGCAGATCTCAAAAAAAAAAAAAAACCTTTCAACTGTATAAAATAGGTGTACTGGGGCCCCCGCGATCATGACTGATGCTGAATGGTGCATCTGGAGATGGCAAGTTGTGGAGAGACATGATCTCGCCCACCCCACTCCGCAAGGAACTTGATGATGATGATGATACTGTTACAAATTAACCGATTGTTTCATGTGGGTTGGGTGTGAGTCCCATGACAGACACTGTGTGACACTGTACAACAATTCAATACAATGGAAGTGTTTACATATTTTAAACATTAACAATACATTTTTTTAAATGTATAAATAATAATTAACAATACATAAATAAACACAAGAAACACATTATAAACAGCTTTTTCAGACCATCCCTGCGCTACAAGTGCAAAACTTGGAGATCATTAAAGGCTAGCCTATATAACATTAACACCTGTGAAGGGAGATGCCCCAGAAAAGGCAACAAATTAATATCCAAGACATAAGAAAAATGATACTCGTGCTAGAAGACATATTGTGGGAACAACACCATGGGAATTCACTGGGGGAAAAAAACCAGAAGATCAAATAGTTTTGTCATTTCGTTAGAATGCACCCCACAACAACTACCAACACAGGCGCTACGCATGAAAATATCGGATTTGGAATCAAGAGGTCGCTCTAGGAGAAATGGACAAATGACATTAAAGACAAGGAATGATATTCGTCATTGCTGCACATCATGCAATGGACTGAAAACTGTTTCTTCCTACGCTGCTCAACGACAAAAGTAGTCATAATTAATAATGATGATGATTAGCATAATTAAACAATTCATGTTTAAACAGGAAAAATATTTTCCAAATTCGTGTTGAATGCTGTTGTCTAAGGGTTCGGTCAGCAGTGAGTTGCCTGTAACTTTTGACTCTTAGGGTAAGCTGGAGAGATCACGCTTTGGCGGAGGCCCGGCTGGTTTCTCTTTTGGCTTCCCGAGTCCCTCAAACTGCAGGATTCTGTGAATTATTATTATTTTTATTATTATTAATATTATTATTATTGTTGTTGTTGTTGTTGTAGCATTAGCAGTAGCAGCAGCAGTAGCAGCAGCAGCAGTAGTAGCAACAGCAGCAGTAACAGCAGCAGCAGCCGCAGTAACAGTAACAGCAGCAGCCGCAGAAGTAGTAGCAGCAGCAGCATCAGCAATAACAGCAGTAGTAGCAGCAACAGCCGCATTAGTAGTAGCAGTAGTAGCGATATAAGTAGTAAAAGTAGTAGTAGCAGCAGCAGTAGTAGCAGTAACAGTAGCAGCAACAGCAGCAGCAGTAGTTGTAATAGTATTATTATTATTATTATTATTATTATTATTAATAGTAGTAGTAGTAGTAGTAGCAGCAGCAGCAGCAGCAGCAGCAGCAGTAGTAGTAGTAGTAGTAGTAGTAGTAGTAGTAGTAGTAGTAGTAGTAGTAGTAGTAGTAGTAGTAGTAGTAGTAGTAGTAGTAGTAGTAGTAGTAGTAGTAGTAGTAGTAGTAGTAGTAGTAGTAGTAGTAGTAGTAGTAGTAGGGAAAGGGGATGGAAAACAAAGAGGAGGTGGAAAAATAAGAGGGGACATTGAAAAAGGAATTACGTCAGCATAAAGATATTCCTCCCAAACCGATACTGAAATAGCATCCCCGCGAGGTCTGTACCGCAGAGACCTCCATCCCCTCTCCAAAATTACTACTTACATTTTGAGCACACTGGACTTGGGACCCAGCATCATCTTCACGAAGTCGTTGTAGTTGATGGCATCTCGTTGTGTGGAGTCCACTTCCTTGATCATTTTCATGACCTCGAGGTGAGTCTTGGCCTGTCCGAGCTGCTCCAACAGGTACTTAACATCCATTACATCTGTGTTGTGGAGAAGATAGGAATTAGCTAAGAACTGAAACCATAGCACTTAGGGCATTACCGTGATAGCTTGGTCCCTATCTTCAACAGAAGCCCAGAGTTCCAGTTTCGATGATACCAGTAACGTAACAGTCTAATTGTAAATAAACCTTACCCCTCTACTCAGGAAGCCTCTGATGGTGTAGCGGCTAGACGCTCGCCTGCGGATCAGAAGGTCGTGGGTTCGGGTGCTGACAGAGCCGGATTTTTTTTCCTTAAAAAATGACCTTGGTTCCCAGGTCGACCCAGTCTTGAGTGGGTACCAGGTATAGTCCTGGGAGGTAAATGAGCCATCGGTGATGCTGACCTCATCACCCACCCAGTGGCCATGGGTCTATCAAATATAGGTCAAGCCCTATATGCCAAACACACCTGAAGGTTTCGAAAGGGTCCTTTACTTCACTATACCTCCCCTGAGTGTTGAGCGTCGACAAGATCCCCTGGCTACTCCTCGCTGCACCGTTCTCTTCATTTTAAGTTTAAGTTTAGTCCACAGATCAACACCACGGCACACGGGTGCAACCCATAAGCGCTCCTTTCCACTTCTAACTCAAGCCTGAGTCTGAAGAATCTCAACTCAGTTGCACCGGCGCGGATCTTGAAAAATACTTTAGGTAGATTTTTAACTCTAAATTTTGCCCGAGCGGCGCTGTTAGGCTACTCTTTTCGATTTCTAGCTGTCATAGGATTTTTTACGTGCGCTAGAATACACACTGGCATCTGAACTTACTACTCAGAGATGGGGGTGGGGGGGGGGGGGGAATTACTAGAATTCCACGTGAAAAAATCACAGCTTTCACTAGAGGCTGAACCTGGGACTTCCAGCACTCAAGGCAGACACCATACCTCAAGATCACTCAGCCCATCTCTTCAGTGTGTGATGATCTATCTATTTGTGCCACCGCACTGTTCCCTCGTCTCCAAAAGGACCCTCACAACAATTAACTTGTAGTGCATCATAGTTCACTAAGAAGCGGTGCAGAACCAGCCATTTTATCAACCTGCTCGTCTCATACGCTAATACCCGCGACCTCTGAAGCGATGCTTGCCACTCTGCACGAGGCATACCTTCCCAGCTTTTCTCAACATACTCAGTGAGTTAGTTATAACGACAAACAAGAAACTAACAATTAGGCTTGATGGAGGGAAAAGAACAGAAAGATATACATACAACCCAACGGCCACACTTCAATCTTTATCAACGAATATACATCAAGAAACAAACGCCAAGGACGGTTGCATTCAAAGGAAATGTGAAAGGCAGAGGAAAGCGAATGTAAACCAGAAAGCACAGTTGAACCTATCTTTTTCCTCTACTTCATATGAGCTATATAATCGTAGTTTTGTGTTGTCCTAAGTCATTCTTGACATCAAATAAACTGCATTATCCTCCAAAATACTAAAGGTTTCCTTTAATCCAAGTCCTGAGACCCACTTTGGCGCAGTTTCCAGTCATACACCTGTATACAAGTCCGCGTTTGGTTCAGACAGTCTGGATTTCCCTAGTGCCACTGGACAGCAGTGGGATTTCTAACGGAAATACGCCAGTTAAGTGATTTTGTGTAATCTTGTTCGTGTTCATGGTATTGTCCTTGTATGTAATGTGCTGAATTTTGTCCAGCCCGAGACTGCGGCTTTGGCGTTGCGAACAAGCTTTGTAATTTCAGGATATCCGGTTAAGCTCCAGTTGTGAGCAGTTTACCAGTAAACCCCTTAGCGTCACTTTCGACTGTGGTGTGGAAAGCTGAATGCTCAGAAGCAGTGACAAACTACTGAATGTAAAATTACATAGTAAAAAGATATACATTCTGTTGATGCTTGAGTTGGTTCCGCAATGTCCTGTTCAAGATACCTCTTTTGAAAACAAAAATGAGAAGGAAAAAAAATGTTATGAGCAAGTTTAATTGCTAACAAACAAAATTGGTTAGATACGTTACAAACAACTGTAGAAACAAACAAAAAAAACAAAAAAAAAAAAAAAACATGTTTTTTCTAAACCTTTAAGAAGCTAATCTTACCTAAATCTCCGGAGAAGTCCCGGTCACACTCGATAAATTTGGCTGGAGCAGAAAGAAAAAAAAATCTTATTATATTCAAAGTTTTCCCGAACAAATGTGTTCCTGAGACTATAAAGTTTAAAAATGCAGGTTCCTGGCTTCCCCGTGTTGGTCCTGGAGCCCTCTTATAGGGGAAACAAGAATGGACCCAGTGCCTACCTAAAAGCATGTCGTAAATGTCGACTAATTGGGAGCTTCCTTCGAAGTCGGAGTGCATCTGCCTGAGAGGCAAGGAACCAGCAGTCTGCATACAAATGAGTCAGGTCTGTCAAACGGATGCACACGCAACACTCTACTCTGGAACAAGACTACAGTCCAGAAGTGGGTGAACAACCAGAATTTTACAGCTGGTGAACGCAAAGAAGAAGAAGAAGAAGACGGTTCCTGGCACAAAGCCAAAGTTTCCATGAACGAACAGACCGGACTTTCCGCCAGAGTTCACAATCAAACAACATGGCGTTCGGTTTGATCACATATGGCTCGATGTCTCTCTCTCTCTCTCTCTCTCTCTCTCTCTCTCTCTCTCTCTCTCTCTCTCTCTCTCTCTCTCTCTCTCTGCAGAACGGCTAAGCCGTCTGTTTAGAGCGTTACACAAAGCACGAAATCCTTAGCTTTAGCTACGACCCCCTAAATCTCCGTCATAACTGCACTCCTAAATGGAACGATGCAATCCGTGAAATAAATTCCCACCGTCAGACTGCGAGGCAAACCGTATTACCATGTAGCCACGAAGAATGGCAATAATAATAATAAATAAAATAACCCCCACATCTAAGCCACACTAGCACTGTTTCCTGTTATACACCTGTGTGCTGACTTTATTACCAATCTTGCGCCGATTGGTCTTTAAAAATATAGGTCTAGCGCTTCAATGTCCTAAACGCCTAAAGGCGTGGAGAAGGTCCTTTACCTTCTTACCTGAACTGTTTGCAGGTCTATGCATTTGGTTCAAGCACCCTGAATCTTCCTAGTGCCACAGGACAGCAATGGGATTTCTACCTGAAATACGCCAGCTAAGTGATATTGTGTAATCTCGTTTGTGTTCGTGATATTGTAGTTTTATGCAGTGTGCTGATGCTCGCTAGCGCCACGTTTACTTGTCGTCTGCGTTTGTGACAATACGATAGTGACTGGCTTCTGCTCTTAGTTTGCTTGATATCTTTTCTTTGGGGGAAAACGGGGGGGGGGGGGGGGGTCGGGGGGGGGGTGGGGGGGGGGGGGGGGGGGGGTTCAGGCATGAAAGGTTGTCTGCCTCGAGTTCAATCCCCGATAAGGGCTGGGATGTTTTCACATGGACTTGGACTTCTAGTAATTCCTTCTGGTCTCTTGGTAGTGAGATCGGACGCCCGTGTGCATTTTTTTTTTTTGCGCAGAATTAAAAAAATCTGTTGGCAGTAGGAAATCGAAAAAAGTAGCCTAACAGCTCTGCCCGGACAAAATTTGGAGTTCAAAATCTACCCAAAGTATTTCAGGATCCCACCGGTGCAACAGAGCGTGTGCCTGTATCAGCTAGACACGGTGTTTTAGGATGTTTTTTAATGTAAGGCCTCCCTGGCACCACCCCCCCCCCTTCCCCGCCCTTTCCAATAAAACTAGTTAAGATTGTCAGCAGGCTACTTGGACAAGAAATGCATAAAAAAAAAAAGCTTCACTACCAGAAACGAGAGGCTGTGGCCATCGGTTCTAGAGGAAATGGAGTCATACGAAAAACAGGCCAGATCTGGATTTTGAGAGTTATGTCCCATGAGAAGGTGACATGATGTGTTTGAATAAATGCCGAATTTTGTACAAAAAAAGTCTAGGTTTTTTTATCTGAACAAAAAAGAAGACATTCCCCGAACTAAGCCCTGGTAAATAAGTAAACTTACCCCACCAGGACATTACACTGAGCTATAAACACCCGGTGACACAAAGTGCCACCATGCGTATAGGATCATAAGTGGAGAGGTCCTGGAGACCCCGTTCAACCGTTATGTTAGGTCCCCGGCAATAGCCAGTAAGCCCTGGTGTATTTTTGATGCAGGAATTAATATTAGACCCGGTGTTATTTTTGGGGGACACAGGGTACATACATATGAGCTCACGAACACTCAAATATACATTTAGGAACACGCATATATTCACAAAAAACACTCATACATACGTTTCCCAAAACACTCACACATACAAACATGCACACATGATCGCGAACTCGCAAAGACGTGAAATTAAGATGCAAGTTAAAGTGAAGAAGTAATGCAAGGGAAATAAACTGTAATTAAAGATGTCATCTCCTGCATTATTTCCCCTGAATGGAGTTCCAGCCCTCAACCAACTCTAACCAAGTCGCCCTTCTCTCTCTCTCTCTCTCTCTCGTCGCTCCATCTCATCCATCTCTCTTCTCTCGTTCTCTCTATCTCGTTTTCTCCTCGTCTCCTCTCTCTCCTATCTCGATCTCGATCTCTATCTCTATCTCTCTCTCTCTCCGCTTCCTCTCTCTCCTCGTCTCTTGCTTCTCACTCTCTGCCTCTCCTCTCTCTTTCCCTTTCTTTCTCTTGCCTATCTCTTCTCTCTCTCCCCTTTCTCTCTGTGTCCTCTCTCTCCTTTCTCTCATCTACTTCTCCTCTCTCTTTCTTTCTCTCTCTGCCTCTATATCTCCCTTTTCTTCTCTCATCTGCCGCTCTCTCGTTGATCTCTCCTCTCCTTTCTCTCTCTGGCCGATCTCCTCTCTCTTTCTTTCTCTCTCTGCCTCTCTCTCTCTCCCCCTTTCTCTTTGTGCCTCTCTCTCCCTTTCTCTCTCCCTTTCTCTCTCTACTTCTCTCTCTCTTTCTTTCTCTCTCTGCCTCTATATCTCCCTTTCTCTCTCTGCCTCTCTCTCTTTATCTCTCTCTCCCTTTCTCTCTCTGCCTCTCTCTCTCTCTCTCTCTCTATCTCTCTATCAAACTCCATCTGAACACCCCTCATAATTATTTATCTATTATAGTTCTTTATCCCACTTGTTGTTTGAGTTTATGTCTATATCCTGTTTGCCTGTGAGGAGATGACTTGCTAGGTCCGATGAACGGGATTAATAATACATATCATCTTATCTTGTCATCTCCTTGTGAGATACAATTTTTTATTATTCGAAGCCCTACTCTGGCTCTTGCCAGGGGCCGCAATATAGCCCGGCCATACATATGGCCTAATGGCTGAAAGCGGTTGCTATGACCTCTGCACAGTGATCCTCATCCCCACATTGTGTCATCGGGTGTTTATCGCTTGTGTGATGTCCTGGTGGGGTAGAAAGTCAGTCAACGGGATTAATATATAAGTCGTAAATTTTTCGTTATTAGAAGTCCCACTCTGGCTCTTGCCAAGGGTTATGAATATAGCCAGGCCATAAATATGGCCAAGCGGCTGAACGCGGTTTCTGGGACCTCTCCACAGTGATTCTCATCCGCTTGGTGGCACTTTGTGACACCGGTATTTTATCGCTTGTGTGATGTCCTGGTGGGTAAAAAGTCAGTCAGTTACATGCACCCTAACTATAACTATAGCAGGAGTTGAACGGGGTATCTAGGATCTACCATGCTAGTCAACTATTCGTTTTGACATTTTCTAACCTCGGGATGGTATGGGTAAGCTTAGGTAGCAGACCGCTGGGAAACCCGATCGATTGATTGATCTTATAGCATGCGACAGTTGATAACTAGCCACAGTTTTGTACGTTTTGTATACACTGGATGTTTTCGGGACTAATCTGCTGACACGTGTCTCCGAGTATTAACTCTTTGAGCCCCAGTGAACGCATCATACGTTCATAAGTCTTCTACCTAGAAGCCCAATGAATGCACGATGAGCCGACTTAATGTCTCTCTTTACTATCCCTTAAGCCCTTGATGCGAAACCCCCTGGGACTTGAAGAGTTAAACTCATCTGTTCGATATGCTATTTAAGGTAGGTGAAAATCTTCATATTAGTGGATAGGTAGTTAGGTAGTTGTACCCCACAAGGACATCACGCAAGCGATAAACAACTAGTGACACAAAGTGCCATCATGCGGATGAGGATCACCCGTGGAGAGGTATCTGAAACCCTGTTCAGCCATATTTATAGCCCGGCTTTATTCAGGGCCCCCGGCAAAAGCCAGGGTGGGGCTTCGAATAACGAAAAATTGCATCCCACGTGGGGACGACTGAGATTGTATTTGCTTTTTATCTCTCTATCTTCTTTTCTCCCACTAGGACATCACAGAAGCGATAAACACCCGATAACACAAAGTGCCACCACACGGATGAGGACCACCTGTGGAGAGGTCACAGAAACCGCGTTTAGCCATTAGACCATATTATGGCCAGGCTATATTGTGGTCCCTGGCAAGAGCCAGAGAATGGCTTCAAATAACGAAAATTTATTTAAGGTAGGTGACAATCTTCATGTTAGGGGATGTAGGGAATTAACCTTGTTTGATGAATAGATAGTTCCAAACCAAAGGGTTCTGCAATGAACAATTGTAGTCCTCGAGCTAATTCCTAGGTTATTTTAAAACAGGACAGGACAACAGACGGTGAAAAGTTCTAACTTCGCAATCGCTCAGAATTGTTTTATAATTCTTTATCTGCAAATGTTAACATTAAGCAATCTTCTCTCTCTCTCTCTATCTCTCTCTGTCTGTGTCTCTGTCTCTCATTCTTCTCTCTCGTCTCTCTCATCTGTGTGTGTGGTGTGTGTGTGTGTGTGTGTGTGTGTGTGTGTATGTGTGTGTGTTTTTTCATAGCAGTAATCCCTATGTAAGATGCAGTTTGTCCTTATTTGAAACCCCATCCTGGCTTTTGCCAGGGGCCCTGAAAAAGGCCAGACTATAAATATGACCTAACGACTGTAAGGGGTCTCTGAGACCTCTACACGGGTTATCCTCATCCGCATGGTGGCACTTTGTGTCAACTGGTGTTTAATGCTCTGTGGGATGTCCATGTTGGGAGTAGAGAGAGAGGGTAGAGAGAGATAGGAGTGGACAAAAAGTGGAGAGGGGAGAGAGAGAGAGAGAGAGAGAGAGAGAGAGAGAGAGTTGTTTCCCTTTTTTAAATAGTAAATTTAATGGATTACCTACCCTTGAACTCCTGCAGCTTATATGGCAAGTCTTCAATCTCACTGTTGACGTCATCGTCAAGATAGCTCTGGAACATCATTCATCACTTAAGACTAGACTCATTATTTGAGCTTGGTCACAACACATCAATAATTAAAGATAAACAATGTTCATCAAAAAAAAAAACAGTGAATGTGCCGTCTTCACAATGGTGGCAGGGCTGCCGAAGTTGGTACTTTCGTACAAATCTGGTATTTTTTTACGCTTGCCAGGTAAAATCTGTACTTTTGGTACCACCGTCTATGTTTTGGTACGTTTGAAAAATTGTGCATCGATATTTTTAATTGTGACATTATGTTAAACCTTTTAAACAAAGCTATCGGAGGCGTAATTAAAATAAGCCTGAAGCAATTGTTAATAACAATGTACTTTTTGACGTGATTGGTCAAATGCGCTTTTGTTCCCGTTTCAAAGGCCAGTGTAGAAATATCCGTCCAGACAAGAGGCAAAGGCTTCTCTTTCGTGTCGTTTGTCGCAGTTTAACATTCCAATCTAGCTGATGCTCAAGCTTTCATACTTCAGTTTTTTGTTTGTTCTTTTATTTCAAGTATTTTACTGCATTATGTTGATACGTTTATTAATTTATTTATTTATTTATTTATTTATTTTTTTTTTTTTTTTGGAAACTACTGTTTGAGTTTAAAATATGACCGAGAATCAGAATATGAATTTAGCTCTGAGGGAGGATAATGTAAAAGATTATAATCCTTTAAAAAATGCAAAACTTAGCAGCAAACAAGAAGTAACACATAAAGTTGCTCACAGATGATACTTTTGGAGTGGACTTTCCTCCGTGCATGCGAAGTCGGGCGCTGGAAATGGCCACCATTGGCGTGCAGGCAGCAAAACATCGCGTGGCCTTGAGTCGCGCCCGTTTAGACGTACTGAGACGGACTTCCCACGTAAGCGAACGGGGCGTCCAATAACGCCTTTACGCCAATGATGGACACTTTCAGAAACTGTTATAATATCAACCAACAATATCGCATGAACTGACTCAAGTCCGCTCACAATTTCGTTGCCGTGTATGTATAGTGTCCGAGTTATGAACGAAATACTGGTTTCCGTCCCGAGTCAAACACCAGGTGAATTAGTTTTACAAATAACTGGTTTAATATGATCCTGGGGGTTCAGGTATGGGTTCAGGCAGGGGTTCAGGCAGGGGTTCAGGCAGTTTCGGTGCCAAAGCAATGGCTTGAATCATTACAGATGTCCACTGTGCATGGAGTCACCTTTATTTTCGTTCCTTTATACACGGGCGTCGATTAACATGAAAGAGCTGATAGGTTGGCTAGATCCGCTATCACTACCGACTGTGAACCTATGGATCATGCTGATATTATTTATGGCGTCTGAGAAATGGGAAGGGTGGAGGACTTTGGGGGCAGTGAATGCACATCACTCGCCAGAATGACAGACTTGGGAGTTATGGTCGGCATAGCAAAAACGGAGACGGGTACCAGGCACATTAGAAGACTTGTAAATCAACATTGAACTGCTACTATTAGTCACATGACGCTGGGGTTCATACTGAGGGGAAAATCTGAGCACCTATAGACATGTCCAGAGTGCAAAGTGGATTACCTAAATAGCTAACTAACTAACTAGCTAGCTAGCTAACTATCTAACTAGTTAACTAACTCACTAACCAACTAACCTGGTTAATATCATCAAGCT